GTGACAAGCCAAATTTCAATGTTATTGCCTGTTACAAAACCCCCCTTAATTCTAGTTTAATTGTCAAATTGTAATCAGCTCAAGATTCAACTTTTCACAAAGTATAAAAATTAATATTATTATTATTGGAAGAATTCCAAGCCACCTTAGATTTTCAAAAAATTAAAGTGGCTCTGAGCCCCCTCCCACAAACCTTACAAAACTTTGCAAAACTTTGTATTTTGATGTGCTGACTCAATTCCATAATAAAAGGTGGCCACTGGACTTGCTTTTCAGTTATAAGTATTTAAAGCTAAAATCAAGGATGTTTTTAACGGGATATGCTGTTGCTGTGGTAACCTTTTCCTGTACCAAAATGGCAATAACGTGTCCAGCAATGGCTGGCCATTTGTTTAATATTATTACGCAAACAACTGAAAAAAGCGTCAGCACTGACTCATCAAAGAACAAGTTCTGAAAACATGCTGGGGATGTCCAGGATGTTCATCATAAAATTTTACTTTAGCCAGGGGGGAAAAAGTATGGACTCCAGTACCTACATTGTGTTATGGGTACTTTTCAGTGTGCACTCTCACATAATTAACTCAACCTCAACCATGCCATCCTCCACCCACCCCCCATAATGTTCTGCCAACTCTTTGACTCCCATGCCTTTGACCCACAATGCACTGCTGATGTCTCGAGGTACAGTACAGACCCTCTTCATAAATGGCTGCCAAATAAAAATTATTTTGTAATTATTAAAATTACCCCAGCTAATCACATTTGAGTAGATAACTCAAAAGAATTTGTACTCTCAAACAATGTTATTTGAGATAATTTAAATGCATACAAAGGAATTTTAAATTGGCAGCTATTTATGAACAGGGTCTATATAGCATGCTTTCTAACTTCAACTGCAACAGAGAGCAGTTCTTACTAGGGTATGGAAAGTAGAAAATTTTAAGTAATATGGAGTGCTGGAAATTAACACACGCATTTCCTTCTGCGCATTAGCTCTAGAAGGGAAATGGGGGACTATACAAGGTAAAGGAAATTCTTTGACCTTGGTGGGATTTGAACCTATGATCTCCAGATTAGATCACTGTTGCTCTAATGAGATACTAGGCTGGACGATTGTACCCTTGATCTCAATCTTACAACGGTATGTTTGATACAAAACAATCGGCAGTTAGTCCCGTGGATTGGGTATATTCAGCCCTTGGGTACATTAAGTGAACCTGTTCTGGCCCGGGTTGTTCAAAAGGCAGTTAACGCTATCCTCCACATAAATCACTATCCAGCGGATAGCATGGTTTGTTGTGTTAACACGTACTTACCCACCAGATAGCAATTTATCCAGTGGATAGCATTATCCGTCCTATGAACAACTGGGTCCTGTAGCGCACGTATAATCTTGTGTGCTCTTGACAAATGGCCATCACTGATATAACAGTAAAATATTTGCACTTGCATAAGTCCGAGTCCCCTGTTTAAGTGAGACAGTCATCAAAAATACAAATCATTTATTGAAATTATGCATCTCGTACTACATACAATTTTGTTACTCAACTTTCTTAGCGGGATATAACCTTTGAGTACGCCGAGCTTATCATTATTACGTAGTAATAGCTGTCCAGCTATAAATGTTCATGTTTTTTTGTTCTGATACAAAACAAGGTGTTAGAGGATTAGTGTAATCCTCTCAACTCTAATAGTTATACATAGTTATTAGTAATTATTGGCTATAAATGTTCCTCACTTCCCCTGAAGGGATACAGTAATCCTTACCGTAAATGTTCAAAGTTCAAAGGAGTTTGATTAAGAACTTCAGAAAAATAGGAAATGAGAATTTCCCCATCTTCTCAAACAAAAAGCTGCAAAATTACAATTCTTTAGGTAACAAGTTGGCAAATTTCAAATGCTTTGATGCTTGACATCAAAGCACTTAGTACAGTCAAAGCTTTATGTATGTGTATTTACAAATGTCGTGTACTTCAAGTCACACAACAAACAATTCTTTTCATACAGTATTCTATAGGTTTCAAACAAATATCAAACCAAAAAGCATCAAGTTTAACATTCAACCAAATATGCCGACAAATGTCAGCTGTTCTTTCATATGGCTACATCCTTTATGTCTTCACACCACCTTCCTGCATCTGAGTATGTTGCTAAAAAGCTTAAATTTGTGTTGTAGAAAACCAGCCCCAAACGTTGGTCTCACAGCTCTGCGCATATGCAAGCCATAAGGTTGGCCCATTCTATTCCACTGTTTATCAAACAATCGAAAGTGAACTGATAACTTTTGAATAACATTTTCCTTTAAAAAGTATCACAGTTGGTCTTGTTGATGGAGGTGATATTTCTCATTAGAATTCATTTGCAAGTTCCGACTCCCATATATACGACTCAAAACTTAATTCCATGGATTAGTCTTAATTGTATAACCATCTGAGATTGCTACAATGTATGTGGTTCAGAGAGGCACTTCATGGCCACGCTATAGCTTGCACATGCACTGAACTGTGAGTCTCATTCCTTAAGTTTTTGTTTCTTACTGCACTAGCTTGACAAAACAAGCGGCTCTCTAGAGTTCCATAACAGGTTGGATTTTGATTGGCTTTTAAAACAAAGTGAGTGGAAGTAAAACACCACCTAGTCGATTGAGCAACATGTTTAGACATGCACAATTCAACCGAAGGCTGATATTTTCAAACTTCCAATCAGAAATTTCCAGTGTCAATCGGTTCCTGTGCAGCCAATGAAAGTACAATTCGAATTTTAGTCTGTTCTTATGCTTTAGTTTAGTTCAACATTGTCTTCTCCATACAAGCTTACTGATATATTTAGCGAAGTTAATGACTCAATTTCTTCCAAAGATTTAAACAAGAGGTTGTCAAGATCTCTATTTACACCAGTGTGGTCATTAATTACAAGTCTGAGTGTTGTCAATGAACAACTTTTTGCCAAACCATTAGTCATATTGTGTGCCCAACTTTTGCTCGAGTCAGTGTAGTCATGGACTGTAAGACTGAATGTAGTCAACGACTTGTTATTCGACAAACCCTGACCCAGACTGTATCCCCAGTTGCCTTCTGTGTCAGCATAATTGTGGACTGTAAGACTAAATGTAGTCAATGACTTGTTATTCAACAAACCTTGACCCAGACCGTACCCCCAGCTGCCTTCTGTGTCAGTATAGTTGTGGACTGTAAGACTGAATGTAGTCAATGACTTGTTACTTGACAAACCCTGACCCAGACTGCATCCCCAGCTGCCTTCTGCGTCAGCATAGTTGTGGACTGTAAGACTGAATGTAGTCAAAGACTTGTTATTCGACAAACCGTGACCCAGAGCGAACTCCCAGCTAGCTTCCATGTCAGCATAGTTGTTGACTGTAAGACTAAATGTAGTCAATGACTTGTTATCCGACAAACCTTGACCCAAACCAGTTACCCAGCAGCCTCCTGTGTCAACGTAGTTGTGGACTGTAAGACTGAATGTAGTCAATGACTTGTTACGTGACAAACCTTGACCCAGACTGCCTCCCCAGCGGCCTCCTATGTGATCGTAGTTGTGGACTGTAAGACTGAATGTAGTCAATGACTTGTTATGTGACAAACCTTGATGCAGAATGTCTCCCCAGTAGCCTCCTGTGTGATTGTAGTTGTGGACTGCAAGACTGAATGTAGTCAATGACTTGTTATTCGACAAACCTTGACCCAGACTGTACCCCCAGTTGCCTAATGTGTCAGCGTCGTTTTGGACTGTAAGACTGAATGTAGTTAATGACTTGTTATTCGACAAACCTTGACCCAGACCGTACCCCCAGTTGCCTAATGTGTCAGGGTAGCTGTGGACTGTAAGACTGAATGTAGTTAATGACTTGTTACTTGACAAACCTGCACCCAGTCCATCTGCCCAGATGCCTGATGTCTCAGTGTGATCGTTTACTTCAAGACTGAATTTAGTCAATGACTTATTTTGCGACAAACCTTCATCCAGACCGTAACCCCAGCTGTGTTCAAATTCTGTGCCAGTGTAGTTGTGGACTAAATGAACGTGGCTGTCTAAGGCAAAACTCAACTCAGTAAGTGACTTGCTTCCTAAGATGATTTCCTTCACTTCATTCGGTGTGAAGTTACTGATGTCAATTGGAAGAGCAGATGAAGTTTTACATTTATTCTGAGCACTTAAACATTTCCAGTCTTCTGTCACCAAACCATCCACGTTTAGAATGAAAGACTGCAATTGACCTTCTCTGTGTAACCTTTGCAGGGCAGCTTGTCCACAATTTGTAATTTTGCCACTCAGGTTAATGGTCAGTGAAAGGAGTACATTGTTAGCGACAAAAAAGTTTACCAGACAATCAGCAACCCTATCGCTCACTTTACCATTGACATTCAATGTAAGACTGGATAATGGCAAAGTTTGTGGTAAGTGACTGCCAAGGGTGTCTACGTTATGGATACTCAACTCACCCCACAAATTTATGGTCAAGGTCTTTTCTAAGTGGCCAACTCTTGAGATCGGATCAAGGAGGGAAGATGGAGCATCTACAAATTTACCTTTCATGTTTGGATGGAGTGTAAGAGATTTCCAAGACTTAGTTGCTGTCAATTTGTGAATCTCATCAACTACTCTTATCCAATGTTCTGGCAAATCTCCAAGAACTTTTAACGCCAGAGAGTGCAAAGTTCTGTTCAGTAGAAACCCGTTTGCAAGCAAAGTGGCCCCATGGTTGTTTAGACTTCCATGGATGACAACAGTGAAAGAATTCAAAGTGGTTTCTTCTGAAAGTCCCTCACTTAAAGCAGAAGCCAAGCAGTCCTCCATATCGCCAAAAAGGGTCAATGAGAAAGAGATGAGCGATCTCTTGGATAACAACAGTTTAAANTTTCAATGTACTGGCCCCTTTCCTAAAATATTGGCCCCTAAAAAGGGTCTTCAGGGGCCACTGAAACACTGCTTTACATCCTAATCCCCAAAAATGTAAGGTTGTAGTCATGGGGGAGGGGGGGGGGAGGTAATCTAGGACGTTTTATATAGGGAGGCTTCGCCCCAAGATCCAACCCCTTACCCTTTTGTATACCATTTTGCAAGAAAAGGTAACCCGCCCATATATCTTTAATTGGAAAAGTTTCCCCTTTCACATACCTAAAACATTGCATCTCTTTTCTAAACGCTTGAAGTGAAGTTAATGATGTCCCTCTAATTACAGATTTTTCTCCCTTTCATATACCTCAACTTGTAAAATCCCTACCCTTTTAAATACCTGGCCCAAGTTGTTCGAAGGCTGGATAACACTATCCACCGGATATATCCCTATCGAGTGGATAAGTGTTAATAAAATAAACTACACTATCCACTAGATAGTGATTTATCCAGTGGATAGCATTATCGACCTTTCAAACAACCCAGGCCTGAAGCCTGAAAAAAGCACCCCTTTTGGGCAGAAACCTTCCCATATAGGCCACTATAGGGAATACCCCCTCCCTTACCCTGAGATTGTTTTCTACTTGACCTTGAACTCAGAGTCTTCATTCCTCTTGATCAGTGGGCAAAAAATGAGCACCCCTTGAAGGTTCTGTGTTTGGACATCTGAAAATATCAGACTTTCAGTTGAATTGTGCATGCCTATCTGACAAACACATGACTCAATTGAGTTGCTAGTGTTTTGCTTTCGCTCATTTCTGTTGTTTTTAAAACAATGACTTAGTTATTAGTTTTATATTCAGATGACAATAAATTTTATTATAGTCAGTATAAAAATCAGTTCATCACAATAATTAAAGTGGATTATTGATGTGAAGTTTACTGACTTGGCTTGATCACCAAGAAGTGTGAATACCTTTCTCATCCCTTAAGAAGTATGAATACCTTTCTCATACCAGGGGTTGCAATTATGTGCGTTTACCTAAGATCCTCTCACAAAAGGATTCTGGTCTCTTGGGATGAAATGTGCTGTTTTAAAATATTCATATCAGTTCTATACTCCAACCACAGAAGGTTTTTTGGTTTAATCCTACCTTGGGCTGGGTATAGAATACTTCTTGGAACTATACCATGTAAAAGTACTGATATTATGTTTGTTGTCTAGGCTCCTCTCTTTTTTCATGGTGTTGTAACTCAGATCATACCTTAGGCTTACTTCTTATCTTCTCCTATTTTGTTGTGATTGTGTCATTAAATTGAGGTAATAAAATTAAAAAGTGATTCACATTTCTGGAGGTCAGTGCTAGCAAGAAAACACTGATACAAAACACAGTGTGTGCATGGGAGACTCTGTGCTCAACAACCTGGTGATCAAACCAGGGGCACATTTCTTGAAAGCCCCGGTAACATTTCAGGCCCACAAAGCCATTTTTAGCTAATCTGCATCTAAAACCAGAGAGGTGTATATGCCTGAAACTTCTTGTATCACGGGAGATGAGATGATGTGTCAGTTTAGAATAGATACCTCTTAGGGGTGAAAAAAAATTCAAGCCATGCCCACAAAGAAGGTCTTCAGTGCCTCTTCAGGACAGACCATTAGAAAAGTGATGGATGGGGGGTGGGAAAAAGACAAAACAAAATCATGCAAGGGAAGGTGACTAAAAAAAATCATGCAAAGAAGAAGTGAAGAAAAAAATTCCTGCAGAGTGAATTATGGGCTGACAAACGGTATACCAGCCTGAAGGGTACCTTGGCAGCCACCTTATACTGCAGTTTTCTGGATCCAGCTGGAATCCTGAATCCCCATTCACCAGATTTTCTCTACAGTTAGAAAAATGGCCTTTTGCCCTTTCCACACTGAAACATTTTGGTGCGGCAACCTCATTATGGATATTGAGCAGCCAGGGCTTAAAAGTGATACTGAACCATATGCTATAAACAGCGATCCTGCTTGATTCATGTTTTGAAAG